GAGGGTTTGTGCCTAATCTCATTGCATCTTGTTATGCTGCATTTAGTTGGCATCCCTGGGAGGCCTTCTCTTTTCTCAAGGGAAAGGGAGGAGCAGTGGGTCTGGTGGGGAGACAACTGGAAGGAGTGGGGGCTGCAGTCCAGATGTATTATATTAGAGAAGAGTAAATAAGAAAAAAGAAGAAGAAATTGTGTAAGTTGAGACAACAACATGATATAGAATGACTAACCCAAACAAACATGTATGATTACCATTCACATGCTTACTATATTTTGTGGTAAAAATACTTAAATCTATGTTGTGTGCTTTCCATGTATACCATTCATTTTAACTGAAGTTCCCGCCTTGTACAGTAGATCTGAGTTTGTCTCTCATGTCTAGCTGAACACATCCCCACCATCTCCCACTCTGGTAACCACCATTCTTCCCATTTTCTGACTAAAGACGGCTCTGGAAATAGCCTTAATTTTTCTTTAATTCTCCCATGTATCATGCTTTCTACTGAGATCCTTCCTTCACAGCTCTGAAAGCAGATTTGGAAACATTTTGAGTGGATCCCCTTAAGGTAAAAATGACAACATCAACTTGGATGTGTCACTGGAGATGGATGTTGTGTGCTCTGGGGAATTTGTTTGTATTCAAGAGAGATGGCTCACTGAAAATGATGGGGGCCCTCAGCCAGTGCTGCTTGGAGCCATCTCATGTTTTAGACACACGAAAGACAAATACGTGACTAGAGAAAGAAAATGTAGATTATTTAGTGTTTCTGTCACTCTGAGAACAGGCTGACTAGTAAAAAGTTTGTTCAGATGATAAAGATTTTGAAAAGAAAATATAAGTAATTTTCCTCAGAAAACCCTGGTCCCTCTGAAGAAAACAAATGGAATTCTGGTGAAAGGAGTTTTTCTCATCTGCTCTTTAGAAGGTAAACAGCAATAGTTTTCTTTCAGAGGCTGACCAATGGGACCAGAGTGTACCTGGGTTCCTCTGCAAGTTCCATGAAATCAGAAGGGATCAGAAGGGTAGAGTATGGAACTGTGAGATCTTAAATTATGGCTGTAGCTAACTATTTTGTCTCTCTTTTTCCCTGCCTTCTTCCACTCACCATTAAAGAGTGATCCTTGAAGAGTGATGAGGTTTTCTTTGACTTCTTCTCTATATTAAGTGTTTCTTATTTTTTCCTGAATTCCCTGGGTCACACTATTTTTGTTGTAATAAGAACCCCTTTACTTCCTAGCAGTGTACACACACACACACACACACACACACACACACAGAGAGAGAGAGGAAATGGAGAGAGAGGGAGAACAGGAAAGAACACAATCAATGGAGTAAGATGATATATACTATTTAAGATTATCTGTAGTATGTTCATTATAAGTTTAGCAACAAAACTTAAGGAGTTAAACTTTAAATATGGTCTAACTAGAAAATAACTTGCAAAGTTTAGTCTATGTTATATGTAGGCAATTTTAAACTTTTCTGATTTTATTTTAATCTAGTAGCTAACCTTTCAGTTTGTAATAATTTTAACATTTCAAAAAATATTCATCTAGAAAATTAACTAAAATGACTATATGCTTGACTATTATAGATGACTATCTATTAAACTGTATTTCTTAATTATACATTACATTTTTAAAGGAGCTGTACAAACACAATACCTTAATCAAGAGCAGAAATATACATATAACAAAATTGACCTTAAATTTGTATAAATAAACCAAGATCCATACCAATGCAAAGTATTTATCTCTATATCATATCCCCCTTTAAATGTAAACAAACATTTAGGGAATTTGGGCATAGTTCTCTCCAAACCACTTCCTGCTTTTTGTTAGGCAAAGGATTTTCTTTTGAGGGGGTTCATGGAGACCTTTCGGGGGGTCTTGTTCCATCAAATCACATTAGTCTGGAAGGAATTCACAGGTTCTCATCCTCTGTGGAAACAAAAGCAGAACTTCTTTTCCAAAGCAATATATATTTCAGATGGATAGGTTTGTTTCAAACCTTTCAAAGACTAACAGAATATGGCATTTAAAATGTTCTAAGAACTTAGGACTTTTCATGACAATGAGACACATCTGCTCCTGGCAGCACCAGCTACTTCAAGAAGATGTTGGGCATCAAAGCGGCTCCTTATGGAGTTTGTTAGCCATTTGGGCAAGAAACTGCTTTTTCTTGGACTGCTTAATGTTATGCTGTATGAACTGGACATGCAGAACCCACAGACAAACTGCCAATGCAGGTGGAACTGTCTTTGAAATTTCCTGCTTCATAGAAAAGTCTGCTGGATACTATGGGCCTGTAGGCTGAAGATGGATGCCCCAAATGTTACAAAGAACTTTGGGTGACTGTCCAGGCAACAAGATGTCTCTGTCAATTCTAGAGTTTTGGAAGTTGCTCACAATAAACTTCCTCTTTACTTAGGTAAAAAAAAAAAAAAAAAAAAAATATTCATTGAAAAATTCTAATTCTCACTCACAGACTTCAGCTCCATCCTATCTCCTTCAGGTACCTGTTGTAAGACATATGATAAAGTATACAGTGAGAATATGCAGGTTCAAATACACATTGATCTTCACACTTTTAAAAAAAAAAATTTAACCTGTGACCTGGGATCTTTTCATACCCATGTAGCCAAAGCCTTCACATTTGGAGGGGGAGGGGACGGCTTTCCTGTATGTGCACCACAGTTCTTTCATTTTCATCTAATTGATCAGCATTAAGATTATTTCCTGCCTTAACTTTTGGAAGTGTTTCCAGAAGTGGCGTCTCTGGGTGAAAAGGAAATTCATAGATAGTTTTGAGTAATATTGCAACATGTCCGTATCGTATGAACTGTGCCTCTTTTCCCTGCGTGGGTGCTGTGTGAAGACGCCTCCTTCCCAAACTCACACTAACACAGTATGTTTGCACACCTGTGAAATTTGGCCTGTTGCATAGGTCAAAATCGAAATGCCAGAGTGCTTTACCTCTCATTTGTCTTATTATGAAAGTGAGATTTTCTTCTTTTGTTTAATGAACATTGCATTTCTCTTTTCTAAATGTTCTTTTCTGGCTTTGAACACTTTTCTACTAATATCTGTGGGTTTTTTGTCTTATTTCTAGGCAGCATCTGTGATACAAATTAAAAATGTGTTTTCTAGTTATTTGTCTTTTGTCTTGATTTTCTTTCTCCTCTTTTCTGGGAAAACATTACAAGCAGCCCTTGCTTTGCATGCCATTGTAAAACTATAAAATTACAATGTAAGAAAACAATGCAAACTGTTCTTAATTAGTTTTTGTCTTCTGGAAAGTTCTGTCAAAATATTATAAGCTCTGCTGTCACTTGTAAACATGTGGAAATGAAAGGCAAGGAAACTGAGGTCTGAAGTGTATTTAAAAACTAGAACCTTGAAAGTACAAAGGAAGTGCTTTGTTTCCTTCAGAAATATTAAAACGTGCTTGAATAGTGCTTTCTTGATCTATATTGTGTGCTTTGTGGAATCACATGAGCATCTTTTCTGTGCTGGGCAAACTTGTGCTTCTACATTTCAGTCAGCTGTGAGCATTTTATCTTTCGCTTCCCATTGCTATAAAATACCTCCAGGAGTTCCCAACACTACTTGCTCTGGTGATGCATCTCACTCCATCCTTGCCCTCTCTCTACTCACAGCCAGTTTCTGGGTTTATATTAAGAAGTTTTATTTTGGTTACATATGATTTTGAAATGGCGGTGTCAAAATTGTCAAAATCATGTATTTCTTCTATAAGATGATTTTCATTCAATTCATGTTTTACTTCTGATGGTATCTCATTTAGTTTTGTTCTTGTATTTTATCTGTACTGACCAATTATTTTGATATCTGCTTTTTATAAAATGCCACGTGGCCTTTGCAATTGGTGAAAAGGAAGCAACATGTGTCATAATCACATAATCTTATATGAACTGAATAGACAGCACATGGCCACTTACAGTAGACTGGAATGGAATGGTTGCTCACTGACCACAATGCCCCGCAGTTTGGGTTTGTTTGTTTTTAATAATTTACTTATTCTTATCTTATGTGCATTGGTGTTTTACCTGCATGTATGTCTATGTAAGGCTGCCAGATCTTGGAGTTTAAGACAGTTGTGAGCTGCCATATGGGTGTTTGGAACTGAACCCAGGTCCTCTGGAAAAACAACCAGTGCTCTTAACCTCTGAGCTGTCTTTCTAGTTCTGCCCAGCAGTTTTTTATACGCAGAATTCTGAAGGGTTCATATCATAGATTGGCTTTATGTAATTACATGGAATGGATGATGCTAACTATACTGTGATTCTGTAAGATTTAAACTATGTTGTCAGGGGCTGACATCATTTAACTAAACTGTAGTACATTAAATTTGTGTATATCAAACCATTGAAAGCAAAGCTACCTCTACAGGAAAGTGCAAACAATAATATATAGTCATCTCTGAGTTAGGACAGCTGTCAATATTCTGATATATATATATATATATCTTAAGTGTTTTAATAAAAGAAATAAAACATTAAACATAATACATAAAGTTGAAATTCTGCTTTATCTACCAGCTCCAATTCTTTCCCTTTCATAACTTGCCACAAACCAATATCATTGTAAATAAAAGAATACTTTTATGCCCCACATATTATATATATAAGCAATTTCAATGAGAAATATGTAGTATTTGTGGGTATGCTCTTTAGTTTGTGCTATAATTTTCTTTTTTGTTTATTTTAGTTTTCCTTTAACTCTTATGGTCTTATTTCTTTTGAGAATTAACCAAAGTATTGTGCTCTACCCCACATAGAAAAAGCCTTGCTTTTCTGTTACGTTCTATTTCATTTAATTAGTGAAGATAAAAAAAAAAAACCTGAAACTTATATTGAGGTGGAATGATGACCTTGCTATCTCCATGGAAACAGCCTGAGCCCACAGATACTGTTATGTGTGGTGTCATATTTATGTTTTCCTGATCTATTTAACCACCTTCTTATCTTGTTTGTCCTCCAGATTTATTCAGGAGATTGAACATGCCATGGGACTTGGCCCTGCCAAACAGTGTCCCCTTCGAGAGTTTCTCACCATGTACATCAAAAACATCTTCCTTAATCAGGTCTTGGCTGAGATCAACAAGGAGATTGAAGGAGTCACCAAAACAGCAGACCCCTTGAAGATCCTAGCTAATGCAGACACCATGAAGGTTCTTGGGGTGCAGAGGCCTCTCCTACAGGTAGGAAGAAGAAAAGAAATTATTTTCCTAATTTTTTAAAATGCGTTTTTTTTCTCTGTGTGTGTGTGTCTGTATACCACATATGTGCCTGGTGCCTGTGGAGACCAGAAGAAGGTGCTGGATCTCCTGAAACAAGTGATTGTAGCTACATGACTGGGTGCTAGGAATCTAGCCCAGGTCCCCTGGAAGGTCAGCCAGTGTTCTTAGTCACTGAACTATCTCTCCAGCCCCAAAATTACTGTTTTTAATCACTATTTTCTTATGACTTGGCAAGAGTCATAATTTTAGAAAAGAAGAAGATTTGCCGTCTGGTTCTGTATTCAACAGGGACAAAACAAAAGAAAATAAATTAAATAGACACTAGGGAAATTTAGTTCTGATGCAGTTTGGATAAGGGAAATTCCCAAGATCGTGAAGGGAATAAAAGAGTTTTGCTTTAACTGTGGGGGATGGTGAGTCTCATTGATATTCCGGCAATGCTTCTCTGCTTGTCTGGAATCTGTCCTTGAGAGAATTGTTTCTCCACTGCTGAATGCCTCCCAGAGTAGGAAGGATTATCAGGAAGGACACTTGTTACCCTGTGTAACCTCAGCTACCAGCAGGAAGCCAGTTCTCCAAACCAGTTTTAGGTAGTTAGTGTAAGTAACTTGACTAGTTCAGAGAGTCTGAACCAGTAAACTGGCTGTTAAAAGTCAGATCATTTAATTCAAGTAATGATCTTGTTAATAGTGAACATTTTCTTTGACGATATGGTCTCTGGGCATTAGAAATTGACAATAGATGTTTTTGTTTCATAGGCCTATGGTAGATATTTTAGCTTATGACGTGATAATAAATAGAAAATTAAAAAATCATGAGTCTGAATTATGGATATACTTTCACAATTACATTAATCTTGCTTTAAGAAGAACAGTAAGAAGGGTGTGGAGGCTCACACAATTGATTCCAGCAGAGGCAGGTGGATCTCTAGTGGTTTTGAGACCAGCCTGGTTCACGTGGTGAGTTTCAGACCATCCAGGGGCTACATACTGAGACTCTGTCTCAAGAAAAGAACACTGAACACAGCGCATTGTTCCATAAATTACACAGTATGAGGGGCTCCAGGTGAGGAAGACTTGAGCTCTCCAACAGAGCTGTTTACATGGGCGGGTTATATTTGCTTCCGTCAGCTCTTTGGCTGTGCTACCTAACTAGGTAAGTCTGTGTCCATTAGAATTTAGAGACATGCTATAACTCAGCAGAGTGTCTAGTTTCACACAAACTCTCCATAATTAAGAGATGAATGAGAAGCATCATAAGGAAAGTTGCTCATGCATACTGTTTGTTCTCAATGAGGGGGCTGCACTAAGTTTGGTATAAAGAGAGGGGGTGTCAAAACTGTGTTCACTGTTCACTGTCCCCACTGGGGTGCTGTTTCACTGATGAAGACCTCCCCGAATCTTAGTGAGTACCCACATCAACTGGAAGATTTTTCAGGCTGCTACCTAACCAGGTTCCCTTTTCTGATTTTCCTTATTTCTTCCCTTTCTCTTCCCCATGTATTTTCAATGCTGAGGTCAGTACTACTGAGGCCATCCTGCCAAGTGGCTTCTGATTGGGTTATTCTGGGAGGGATCACCAATAGGAACCCAAAGGTAGAGAAGAAAGAGGCTATTGTTTCTTCCTCCCTACTTGAGGTGCTGAAGCTTCCTCAATAGCTGTAGCTCCTGCTCTCTCTGGGCTCTGACAACAGTTTCTTCTTCTCACTCCTTGATTTCCTCTTTCTGCTCTTAGTAGTCTCTGTATACTCAACATCCCTAGTTCCTATTCTCAACCCTTACCATATTTCTGTAAGTTATCTCTTCATTAATATTTCTTCATTTGAATTACTTGAGTGGAGCACTTTATTTCATGATCCAAAACCAAAATTTCCACTGACCATTTCTTTCATATTTTCTGCATGTGTGCTTGCTTGATTGCTTTCTGTCTTGTTTTAACTTCAAATTGAACCCAGGACTTTGTAAATGCAAGGCCAGCATTCTATTATTGAGCTGTACCCCCAAGCCCAACATTGGGTTTTTCCTTCTCAACATTTAGCACATATATAGGTACTACTTTTGCTAACTTGTCTTCTACCATTTCCCACTAGGAGGTAAGTTCCTAAAGCCTAGCACACTGTTGGCAGCAGGAAGTACTTGTGCATGTTACCAAATGCATATGTGCATAGATGATCAACAGGTGATTAACAGATGAATAAACTCAATGGATAAATTCAAAATGGGAAAAAATGAGAAACAGTGACTATGATTTGCCTGATCATGAGTTGCTTTTCCATCAGGAACCCACCCAGTGGTCTAGTCTCCTGAAATGCCATGCTCTATGAGAAAATGAACAGCTTTATCATATATTATGTCCTGGGTTTAAGGGAAGGATGGGGAGAGCACACTACACTATCAAGTAAATCTGTGAGCTAGAGAGTTGCCTTATTAAACATGATTATTTTGCCGGGCGGTGGTGGCGCACGCCTTTAATCCCAGCACTTGGGAGGCAGAGGCAGGTGGATCTCTGTGAGTTCGAGACCAGCCTGGTCTACAAGAGCTAGTTACAGGACAGGCTCCAAAACCACAGAGAAACCCTGTCTCGAAAAACCAAAAAAAAAAAAAAAAACAAAAAAAAAAAAACAAAAAAAAAAAAACATGATTATTTTGAGCTTATGTAGCCAATCACATTGAGACTCATAGTCTGGCTCATATTGGGCCATACACTGCCAGCTAAATGTCACCTCAGGTCACTCTCCAACTTGTCACAGTCATTTTGTATTAGTAGCTCTCTTTTGTCCTATAAATCAATTACTGCAGTCTGAGCTAGGTACAGACTCTACCTAGTCTCCTTTTTACCTTATCAAGACGTAATTACACATAAGTGAGTAAATCTTAAGACCAAAGCCTTTCTAATTAGTAACCTCCAAGGTTGTGCTCAGAGCCAAAATGCCGACTTTGTTATATGGCTGTAGTCTTGACTTCTTTTGTGCATTAAAACTGTAGTTTTGGAGATGCAAAGTTCTGAGGGGTATGGTCATTAAATCTGTCTACTGTTCTCTGAGATACAAGGTTTCCATCCTGAAAAATTCTCTTTCTTTGTAATATGCTAAAATTTAAGGGTTTCTTAAAGGTATCTTTATGACTACTTTATATTTTTATTTCTAGCTAATTATAGGTGGCTAATCTGAGAAAAAGTGGCAAGTAGGTCTTAAACCTATTAACTGATAATGTAAGATATACTCCAAAGGGAGCTGGGGGCCATGTGTAAGAGACGCAGGTGGGGACAGTGCTCAGTTGCTAAATGACTGCCGTCAGGTCACAGAGGCAAGCAGAGCATGTGCTCTTCCCCTGAGGCAGCAGCCGTGTCATTTGTCATCAGCCCGGTTGGGTTTTCCAGGGAGAGGAAGGACAGTTGTCTAAGTGCTGCTTTCATTCATTTGATGATGGACAGATGAAATACATGAAGGCCTATGAGGAGAACCTCACGTCTGTCTTTGCTTCCCGCAACATGGCTTCTAAGCAGCCCAGGCATCTTGTCATGAGGAGTGCCAACATGCACTTGCAGTAATGATTTTACTTTCTGCGGCAAATTCCATGGAGGGAAGAAAGGGAGTTAATAAGAAGAGAAAGAGCAAGCCCCACTTTCTGCAGTGAGAGCGATGGCCTTCAAATGACACAGCACTGCAGAAAAGAAGCAGTGACAGAAGTAATATCAGTACTGATAGCAGTCAGCACATTAGCAATGTTGATAGGGGCCAGACTCTCCTCTGAGTGCTTTGCATCAACTGGCTTATAGATGCTTTGATTGTATGACAAGAGCATCTTTGATGGTCTTATGAATAGAAACTGAAAACAGTTGAATTAAATTACCTACCAAGAGTCTTGTGGCTGGCAATGGCTCAGCCAGTTTATACCGAAGAAGTCTAGTCCTGAGCCCTGTGTTCTACAGCGGTTTGCAGATCATAATCTGAGGATTATGCTTATCTGCAGGCTACCTGCTACTCTTGTGTCACTAGACACAGATTTGAGAGTGTGCCTTTAGACACTAATTTCTCCTTAGTACTTTGACATTGTCTATGAATCTAATATATTGGAACCTATATCTTACATATTTCTGGGTTTTGAATTTATTTTTCTGGTAACTCATTTTTATTGCATCTCATAAAAGCGTATATTCGCAACAGATTGTGGGAATACCAGGCTGTTGCCATAGTTAGAGGAGCGTTGCTCCAGATCCTTTACTGTCCCACACTGCCTCCCAGGGAGTGAAGGAAAGGACCATCTGCTTCAGTCCTAACACATCTACAACAGAGTATGGGAACTGGTTACTATTGGTTCTCGCTAAAATCTCTAGTTCCAGAATAGATCTAGAACAACTAAAATGTCTAATAATATTTATATAAATATTCTTATATTTTTATTTATTTATGTGAATGTGCACACACACACCATGATGCATGTGTGGAGATCAGAGGACCGCTTGTCAATATTTAATAAATGGATGTGTGAATGAGTAGATGAACATGATGCTTTCCTTACTACTCAGATGTATGTGACTCTGTTTTTCCCTCATGACACAAAATTCCTGATGTTGAGTTTCAGAACCTACACATTGCTAAGTTAGAATGTTACGGTTCTCTTACCTCTGGTGTTCCAATGTAAGGGCAGAATTGGGCATGACTCATGTGGCCTTTTGAGAGGTTTCCTTTTACATTACTTTTTCGACAAAATTGCCTCTCTTTTGCAGTGTTAAGCTTATTGAATCAAGCTGTACTAAGGAAGTCTCTTAGGAAAAATTTCTCATTTCTCTTAAGCCACATTTTGGATCTGGAGCTTTGAAGCTCTGTGCTCAGCATTCTGACAGGGCATTAGTTTGTTTGAGGTGGACATTGAGGTGGTCCATAGACTTTCAGTCTATAGTGTGGTAGTTTGAATGCAATTGTCCCTCATAAACTCAGGGAGTGGCATTGTTAGGAGGTG